AAATATATCTTTTAATTTTGATCTATTTGATTAAAAAAAAAATGAGCATAAATAATTATATATATTATATTAAATAAATAAAATAACAAACATATACCAACTTTTTAGGAGCTACAATAGGAGATGAGGAACCTAAAGTATTGCTTTTTACAGGACCATTACTAATAGATCTCATTGAACGATCAAAAAAATTTCCGCCAGATATAACATTATTATTTATGTCAAGGAGTTTTTTACTGGCCCCATCAGTAAACAAAGAAAGCGTTTTATTTGCACCGCTAAAGTTAGATGATGATGATGATGGGGTAAATATTGTAGCCGTTACTTCATTTGTAGACAGCACACTACTAGCGTTCAATAGACTCAATGATAATTGTCTTTTGTCTTCGAAACTAACACCCCATTTGGAATTATTTTTAATATGAATATTTTTTTCTGTTGATGATCCTGATGTTATACTAGCGTGGTCGCTTATTGCTAGTGTGTCTGTTACTGATGAAGGCGAATTTGCCAACAGTATTGGGGTAAGAGATTCAACAACATCATGATTATCATAATTTTCTATTGCTTCGCTAAATTTTTCATATATTAATTAATTGTCTCATTACATTTTTAGAAGTTAATATAGGCCCTATTAATGTACTAAAGAAAAGATTAATAAATAAATAAATAAAATTTATCATCATACATATATATTTATTAAATAAAGTCTTAAAATCAAAAATAACAATAATACCATATTTCTACTAAAGCAGAATTTGCCAGTTGAGCGACTGATGGAATTGCATTGTCCAAACTAGAAATATCTTTATTAGCTGTAGGAATAGAAACAGGACTTGATACATAATCTACTTCTGTCAAAATCTTTTGTTTAGCTAAATCTAAATGAAAACTATTGTTACTGCCACTTGAAGGACTCAAAAGAACCTTTTCTTCTATAGTCAATGCTTCCAAATACAAAGGTAATAATTGTTGTAAAAAATTTGTAATGCCAAATCTAT